TGTGTGTGTGTATGTGTGTGTGTGTGTGTGTGTGTGTATAGACCTACAATCCATTTTCTATATCATTTCGTGTATGTTGGTTCGGGGGCGAACCCACGTTACAAGATCATAGTACGATAACAATTAAATTTAGTCTTCTTATTTAACTGATAAGATTCATCTTAGTCTCGTCACTCAACTGACACATTGAGTTATGCCTCATGTACAGTTTGGTCTATGCGACTACTCTGGTCTCAGTCATCAGTGGGGCGCTTTTTGGTTGGGATCTGGGTGCAGCTGGAGGGGTGTTCGTCATGAATGGGTTCAAGGTACGAGTGTTCTATTGTCCTTGTGGTTAAGTTGTTCTTGTGTGTGTATATATTGGGCTGTATTTGTATCTAAGAACTTGAGCACGTTTATATATGCTCTATACGTGCATTGCAATACATATGCACCACGAGTGGATTGGTAGGTAAGGAGAACGGAGTTACCTACCATGTACTACATTTGAGCCCAGCAAAGAATAAACCAATGTACAGGAAAGTAATGATATTAACAATAACTATAATACTACTAATAATAATAATAACAATACGTATCAAATTATAATAATAATAATAATACTAACAATAATAAACACAAATACCAATAATGATAATAATAGTGTATAGTCAATAGTTGTACTTCTAATTGTGTAGTTATTGAGGTTTCTTGTGTTGTTACAGTCCATTTGTATATGCGGAGATAGCTACTGTGCGATAGGACAAACCCTAAACCCTAAAACACCCAATAAATACCTAAAACCCAGAAACCCATTCGGAGAAGTGGCTGTATGATGTTGAGCTCCCTTTCATATACGAATGGAGACCTTGGCATCGAAAGAATAATACACGGATCATATATAATATACATATGCAATGTAATGACATATATGACAGTATATATAGTAGGTATGATAGAACTTCCGTTGCGCACTCACTGAATGCATTCATTGGCAAGTTCATATTTTCTCCGCATCAACGAGTCACAGGAACAATTTGGCTGGCCATTGGGAAACGACGACGTTCCACCTCACGTGAGTGAACAGATGGGATGGATTACAATGCTTTTTAGTATAGGTAAGTCCGTGCAGTTGTATAGACAAGTACACAAACAGTACTCTATTTATATATATATATATATAGTGTGTGTGTGTATATATATATGTGTGTATGTGTGTGTGTATGTATGTGTCTGTGTTTGTGTGCATTTCTGTATGTATGCACATACCTGTGTATTCTCTCTATACTTACATATATATGGACCTCTAGACTTCTAAAAACCTTATATTTAGGTCCCAGTAGTGGTTATTTGTCGCATAGTCAATGTGTTCTTTTGTTACGGCATTTCTGTATGAGAATTATAACACCTGCGAATTATTTATATCGTTTTGGTGTAGCATAGGCTAGTTCACTCACCTTCATGTGCACATGTCGAACTGAAGGGTTTGTTCGTATTGTGAACTTAGGAAGTGGTTTACTTATAGCACAACCTTTGCTATCCGAAAACCCTAAAACCATAAACCTTATACCAATCCATTTTCTAAATGGACAGTAGCAATAAGCCTTTCAGTTAGACTATCATAGGCAGTACTTTTTCCCACGCGTCCACATCTAAAGAAACCCTGTTTATAACACATACCGTAGTTATACTCTAAACTCTCTGGATGACCCTAAACCCCAAACCCTCTGACTCCGTTCACAGGTGCGCTGTTTGGCAGTGTGCCGTCGGGCTCTGTTGCCGATCGCTTTGGGCGACGAGTGACCATTCAATTCAACGCACTCTTCTACGTCATCGCCTCATTAGTGTCCACTTTTGTATGTGAACTGGGACTTGAAAGGGTTTTGGCTGTTGTTGTTGGTGTTGGTAATAGTTATTACATTGATATGTACGTGTGTCTTTCTCGTCTGCTGTTGTTGTTGGTAATGGTTATTACATTGATATGTACATATTAGTGTGTGTGTTTCTCTTCTGCTGTTGTTGTTGGTGTTGGTATTGGTTATTATATTGATATGTACGTATTAGTGTGTGTGTTTCTCTTCTGCTGTTGTTGTTGGTAATGGTTATTACATTGATATGTACATATTAGTGTGTGTGTTTCTAAACTGCTGTTGTTGTTGGTGTTAGTATTGGTTATTGCATTGATATGTACGTATTAGTGTGTGTATTTCTCTTCTGCTGTTGTTGTTGGTGTTAGTATTGGTTATTACATTGATATGTACATATTAGCGTGTGTGTTTCTCTTCTGCTGTTGTTGTTGGTATGAGCATTGGTTATTACATTGATATGTACGTATTAGCGTGTGTTTCTCTTCTGCTGATGTTTTTGGCCTTTGTTTGTTTATTGATATATGCGTATCCTTAGTGTTGGCGCATTTATATACGTGTTCTACTCGTTAAAGAATCTGTTCTAAGTTGTAGGGTATTAGCTGTAGGGTATTAGCTGTAGGGTTTCTGGATGTTCTATTGATGGTCTTCCTTTAAAGCCCCTATTCCAGTGTCAGGGTGTCACGGCTTTAGGGTTTGTTTTAAACCCTGTAAAGAAACTATTCAACTCTTTCCCATCCCTGACATACCATGCTGCTAATCGGTCACTTCACTCTACCTACTTCTCTCTGTGACTATGCACTTCCATCCTCAGTCACTTGACCTAATTCTCTCGCGGATTATACTCTAAACCCTGAACCCTGTCATGCGATGACCTAAAACAGCAGTGGCAAAAACAGAAACACGTGCACAACATCAGTGTCACGTGGAAACGTTTTTTGCCTTAGACGTTTTACGTTCTAAACCGCTGCACGTCTGACCGTTTCTCCATTGCACAGGCAGTTGATGTGTACATGCTTTATGCGGGTCGCTTTCTTCAGGGAGCCAGTATAGGGATTTTCAGTGGTACGTTTAAGCACTCATGTCTTAAATTTGTCTCAGTGAGATATACGTATGGCTCTGTATTCGAGGGGCCAGGAAGTATAAACGCATTCATACACACCACTACACATGCAAGTATATACGTAAAAAGGGCTGTAGGGTTTTAGGGTGTAGGTAGTAAAGCCAACGGTTGTGTTTGATGTTTACCTTTCATACTACTTTGTTTATTTCTCATTTGTACTCTCGTTGAACTTTTGCCGTTGCTTATACTTTGTTTGATTGTCATTCATACTCTGTTTATACTTTGTTTATACCTCATACATACTCTGTTTATACTTTGTTTGTTGTTTATGCTTCGCTTGTTGTTTATTCTTTGCTTGTTGTTTATTGTTTCTTTGTTGCTAATCCTGTGTTTGTTGTTTATTCTTTCCTTGATGTTTATTGTTCGTTTATTTCTAATCCTTCGTTTCTTTTTGTTTGTACTTTGCTGTTGTGTATCCTCTCCTTGTTGTTTCTTGTTCCTTTGTTGTTTATCTCTTGTTTCTCCTCATCCTGTAGGTATTGTGGTCATGTATGATCAAGAGATAGCCCCCTCTCACATCCGTGGCAAAATAGGCACAGCGTGGCAGTTCAGCATAGTCATTGGTAAGCTGGCGGGTGCTGTGACCATCATCTTCACCAGACAGTGTGCCGACGGCTGGAGACTGTCGTACGGAGGAGTCATCCCCTTTGCACTCGCCATGTTTGCGGCCTTCTTCTATCTACCTGGTAGGTATCTCTGTCTTTCTACCTACTTGGTCGCTGAATATCTATCTACCTGGTAGGTATCTCTGCCTGTCTATCTCCTTGGTCGCTGCATATCTATCTGCCTGGTAGGTATCACTGTCTGTCTATCTACTTGGTTGCTGCATATCTATCTGCCTGGTAGGTATCACTGTCTGTCTATCTACTTGGTTGCTGCATATCTATCTACCTGGTAGGTATCACTATCTGTCTACCTACTTGGTCGCTGTATGTCTACTTACCTGGTAGGTATCTCTGTCCGTCTACCTACCTGTCGTTGTCTGTGTGCGGTAACCCAATCGGATGTGGTAGGTATCTGTATGTAGACTTACTACAAAGAGAGGTCTAAGTACATGTGCTGCCCTCGGCGTTGTCTATTTATCTTGAGATTCTCGTCATGTTGTGCGATGGAGCACACTCCTTTGCACTGCTAAAACCAATATATATATATATATATATGTGTGTGTGTGTGTGTGTGTGTGTGTGCGTGTGTATGTATATATATGTATGTATGTATATATATATCTATATATATATAT